AATTTGTAGATGTACATCCCAACTTCAAGTTTTTTAAAGATTTTGTTTTAAATATTCAGTGCAAAAATGACTGCTCTGAAAGAAATATTTGTCTAATGCAAGATTTACTGATTTACAAAACATCATGATGGTTGCTAAAGAGAATAGAAAAAGTGTGGATAAAAAAATAAAAAATGATTTGAACAATATAACTCCTTAGCAAAAAATATTTAAGGTTAAATGTAACTTTTTTTTTTACTTTAATCAAAGAAAACTATTTTGAACCAAAATAAAGTGTTTTTTCTATGGATTGTTTTATAAGTTAAATATTAGACATTTTAAAGAAAAATGGAAATCTACACCTAACACTTCCTCAAGGTTTGCATTTTTCTTTTAATTAAGGTATACAACCAGGATGTATTTTGAACCTTTTAGTTATGTGAAAAAGTTGTATTTTTAGGACACCCTATTGTAGATACTTTACTCTTTTTTTTGGCAGCTATTTTTCCAGGAAGATAATCAAACCAGTCTGATCCATATTTCAAATATTTGAATTGAACGAAGTAGGTTGTTTTCCGTTAATACATTTTTAAGAATGGAAAAATATTTAGACACTTTACAAACATTTATACACTGATGTCTAATAAATGCTGTACCTTCTGGTTGACGTCAAGTTAATGCTTTGAGCTTTTCGCAGATCCCACGCCACTATTTCTCTGTAGGAGTTCCATTCTTGAATGCTTTTTATGCTTTCAAGCAAAATTTTCAGTGTATTTTAGAAATTGCACCGAATTCCTGATTCCTAAAGACAGGCTTGGTCGGGAAGCGGGTGCGATCGCACTTGATAATTGACCACGGAAATTATATTTACTTGCGAAAAGCCGGCCAGATTTTTCAGGCGTTTTGAGAACATTTCAGTTTATGTATGTTTCCTTGTTTGTCCGCAAAATAATAAGTTCATTTTATCCTAAATTTATTTTTTTTTACGGACGTACATGGAAACTTAAATAAACTTGAATGTTGTCAAACGTCTTAGTGCGGAAAAATAAATAAAGAATATTCGCGAACACAAAAAACCCGCCAAATTTACGAACAACTAATTCTATTAGTTCAATTAATAAATAACTGAAATTACTACGCGACTGTTCTAGAGTATTCCGTTGAATTATTTTTTAAAATCTTTTTTGTTTTTTTTTTGTTTTTGTTATTTTTTCGTTGAGAATTCTAGCATCAATTGTTTTAAGAATATACTATCAAACGAACAATTATTTTAATACAATGGCTCATTCTGGGAGTCACATCCATAAAGCTATAAATGTTTTAAACAGACATTTGTTTACAAAAATAAATGTTTTAAATTTATATTTTTTAACTTGTCAACGTTTTGTAAATATATTATAGATTTAATTAGTATAATCTTATTTTTTATATATAAGGGATGTATTTATATGTATGTAATGTATTAGAAATTGGTTTATTAACTCCAATTATTTTTGCTTCAGCCATTCTTACAAACTCGTTATACTTACACTTAAAGTTTTTTTTCTGTAAAATACTAGTTAAAGATATAAAGCCCACTCACTAAACATCATCAGCGATATTGTTAAGCAGTTCCGCTTCCTCCTTACAAAGTAATTTAACGTTTTTAGTTAATTTCTATCTAGCTAATTAAATTTCCACAGTAACTCAATGATTTAGTTATTTCATTTGTTCATCTTACTAAGAAGAATTGTTTCAAATATGTTAAACTTTTCAAACTACGCGAAGCATAAAACAGGTACTGAAAAAACTTTTTTTATTTATAATTAAATTATGTAGCGTTAGTATTATTGGTTTAATCTTGTTTGACTTTACAGGGCCGGGGGTTGCACTATTTTGGTGGCCTTTTTTATGTGCGACAGCGTAAAAATGGCTTAAAAATACCGATAGGTCCTCTTGACTATTTCTAGGCCCATTACATTGTGTGTCCCGGGACTATAGCTCTTCTACCACCACCCCCCCCCCCACCACCTCTTATTTCCAGCACTGGAAATAAGACATAAGTATATAAATAAAAATTATATATAATCTTTGATAAATTGAAACATTTGTTTCTTTATTAAACAATCATTATTAGGACGTTGTTACTATATACAAAAAATGTCGCTTTTTTTAAAAAAAAAAAATTATAAAAGAGCGACGTTTCAAAAATATTTTGAAACTCTAATCGCATTTATTTTGCTTAAAGTTTTGCGTTAAAAGCTATTTTTCTTTTTTTTAACTGTCTCTCATCGGTCCAGTTTATCTTATTGCGCTTTTTTGCTTGTTTTTGAAATGTTCTCAAAACGCCTAAAAAATCTGGCCGGCATTTTGCAACTAAATATAATTTCCGTGGTCAAATATCGAGTGCGATCGCACCTGCTTCCCGACCAAGCCTGTAAAGACTAAATCGACCTGATTCCTAAAGGACAATTATATGCAATTTATAAATTTATTTTATGCACATAAATTTATTTTATGCACAATATGCACGATTATATGCAATTATATGCTACACAAATATATGCAAAATCAATTAATTTCTTTTTATCTAAAATAGTTGAATTTCCAGGTTTGGCTCCTATTTCCGAAATTCAAGAAAATCACACTTGTAACAAACATCTTAGAATGTCAAAAATTTTACATGCTCCTCGCTGTGAATCTCCATTTCTAACAGCTTTAATTGCTAATAACATCGATTCATCATTCGATAAACGGTGTTTTACGTGTTTGTTTCTCTATTTTTCAATTTTCGTTGAATTTTCTGTTATTTTATTATTTATTTTTTTCATTCTAAAGTAAATTTAATTATAAAATGGTTATGACTGTCTAATAATAAATGTCTATGTTTCTATGATTATATCATATACTTATATCAAGTAGATTAATTTCTCTCTCTCTCTCTCACTATGTGTGTATATATATATATATATATATATATATATATATATATATATATATATATATATATATATATATATATATATATATATATATATATATATATATATATATATATATATATATATATATATATATATTGTATGTTCATCAGACACAAGGAAGCTGTCTGATGAACCTACAAAAAGAAAAAGTTGATTATTGAAGATAATTAGAAAGGGTACTTGCTAATTTATTATTGCTCTGCTCTTTAAGATCATCGAACACTATTTTTTAAAGATTTTGTAAAAAAAATATACTTAGAAAAGTGTACCCCCAACGATTTTTGTGAGGGTATGGTTGTGACTCACAATGGGGGCAAAACCAATTTTTCACTAAGTGTAATATTTGTGTAATAACATTTTCAAAAAACGTTCAATTTTTTCTTAACTTCATCAATTTAAAGCTTGATGTTGTGGTTATAGAAACAAACTAAAAAAAACACATTTTGTTTTCATTTTCATATAACAATAACCCAAACGTTACGGGGGCGATTATGCTCCCACTTCCCCTATTAAGAAATCCTAATGATTAGTGCAAAGTTTTTTATATAAATCAACTTTATTTAAGCAATAATAAATATCAAAATATTAAACTTATTCACAAAACTTAGATCTTTTTTCTTTCACAAGTTTTTCATAAATCTGACTATCATTTCTTTTATTAAAATATAACGCCTGATCTTATAATAACAGAGAGAACATATATATATATATATATATATATATATATATATACATATATATATATATATATATATATATATATATATATATATATATATATATATATATATGTATATATATATATATATATATATATATATATATATATATATATATATATATATATATATATATATATATATATATATATATATATATATATATATATATATATATATATATATATATATATATATATATATATATATATATATATATATATATATATATATATATATATATATATATATAATATATGTCTATTATCATAGGATCAGGTGTTATATTTTGAAACTTTCGTAGGTACAATTTCTTTATAATTGTCATAGCTCAGATTACTTGCTGATTTTAATGCACGTGGTTTGTTTTGCGTATTGTGTAGGCATTCTTTGTACTTACAGTTTGAGTTTTCTCATTCGATATACTCTTAGTTTTATTTTCATTGAAAAACTCATGTATAAAAATTAATTAAAAATATACGAAATCTAGTTTCTAACATCTCAAAAAAAAAAATTTCTTACATTATTACTAAAAAAAAACCTTTCTAACAAAACCTTTCTCACAAAACTTTTTTAACAACTTTTCTAACATCTCAAAGCAAAACTATTCAAGTTTTTACATTAACGCATTTAAGTGTGACGATTTTAATTGTTGTTATTCGTAATTACTTAAACTTGATAAATATTAAAAGTATGCGGTTGTACCTCCTGTGCGTCTATGTAGTTTTTCTCCAGGAAACAGTTTTTAGAAAGAATACAGTTTTATAGCTTGCTTATAAGAACATGTTGATATCGAAAACGATTTTCACTTGATGAAATAATACTGATAACACATTTCTTTAACACTAAAATCAAATAGTACTTAATCCTCGAAAAAAAGGTCTTTAAAAATATGATGTAAATATAATATTTCAAATATCTATGTAATACGTATGTAAATAAAATATATCAAAATAGACATCATTATGCACAACTTCTCTGAAACATAACAGGCACTGTTTTTGACATAAGTGAAATAAAGGAAACTGTTTTACTAATCCGTGGTACGTTTTTTGCTATATTAAATAATATTTTTCAAGGGGAAATGTTAAAAAACTGTTGTGTCTCAATATGCGGTTAAACCTTATATTTTTAAAATTATTAAAAATATAAGGTTTACAAATATACGGGAATATAGGTTACAAATATACGGCCTCATTCACACATAACACAAATCTGAATAAATATACAAGGATAGGGTAAAATAAGATTATGAACAAAAGTATATAATAAAGACCAAATATGTTAAACCTTATACTTCCCCTATATAATAATATTTTTGGAGAAAAAAATGTCAATATTTGGTCTTGTTTTATTTTCATTAACTATTTTATTGCAAGTTTTTTTCTATTCTTAAAAAGTTTACTTAAAACGTTTTACTTTTACTCAAGTTAAACAACAGCTCCATGAACATCTCTTCTAAACGGAGACTCAAAAATGCGTGGGCTACCATCGAAAATTCGTGGACTGTTGTCCCTTGAAGAAATTAAATAAAACTCTTTTGCTACCCGGCCATTTATTTTTTCTAATGCTTCTCTCGTATGAAAGAAATTACCACCTTTATGTGTGAGAAACTGTCCATTGTATTTGTTACGAATTTTATGAAACCCGCATGCCAGCATTAATATTAATGCAACCGTACCCACACAAATTCCTCCTGTTATCCACGCAACTGTAGTTTGACTTAATTTTGATTTGAACATTGTCTGCAACTGTGATTTAATATTACCGTCAATAGCCAATAGATTATCTACGTTTTTATTTTCTAAAGCAAAATAAAACAAATAAGTAATTTCTATAATAAAAAAAACCTATCGGCATAATAGATGTTTGCATAATTTTTTTATATGTATTTGTGGGGTGTACATTTTTGTTGGGTCCACGTACTTTATAGAATTTACTACTAAACTCTTTTTTTTTTACCTTTAACAGGACAGTTAAACAGCAGCTGACCTTCAATAAGTGTTTTCTTTTCAAATACTATTTTTTCTACAACATCGAGATTTTGACTCTAAAATTTTAGTAATAGTTAAATAATTTATTGAGTTAACTGATTGAGAAAAAGCAGAAATGTAATAAATAAAAAGTAGTTTATAATACTTCAATCAGAAGTTGCTGTAAACACCCATTGTAATTTACTTTACTAGCGGAAATCAATAAAGTGTTAACGTACGGATAACCTCCAACAAAAATGTAAAATCTTTCTTCGTCTTCTTCCAAACTTTTATATTCGTCTGTACACTCTGTAGAATAATATTTTAAATCCATCCAGCCTGTAGGTTGGTATTTCAAAAACTTCTGATCAACATAACTAAATTGTTTTAATTTAAGTTAATTAATAATAAGTTAAACTTATTTAAATATAAATATTAAAAAGCTATATAATTAATAAAAATAAATATAAAATTATTAACCTCTTTGGAAAACTCTCTCTATCAACGCTTAAAACAACCTCTGGTCCAAATATTTCGATAATAACAGAATGAAATATTCCATCGTGAAGGGCACTGTTACCAGCTAACACAACTATACTGTCTAAAAAAAATAATCTTAGAAATTTATTAATTAGTGGTTTTTAAAACCAACTTTTAACTTATTTTAAATTTTTATTACTACTATTTCCTTTTGATTTCGGAGACACTTCTTCAGTGCTCTGTGACAAGACTATAAGGACTTGTCACAGAGCACCGAGGAAGTGTTTCCAAAAAGGACTGGGAGCTCCTTAAAAACCGCAAAAAAAAAATAAATAAATAAAAGATATCAGCTATCTTTACAAAAAAAACGTCCTTATAAAATCTTATGACTTAATTAGTTTAAACAATCCAGCTAGAATTGTTTCTTGTACGCTAAAAGAAAACTTATTGTTTTTGACGGCACACACATATATATATATATATATATATATATATATATATATATATATATATACATATATATATATATATATATATATATATATATATATATATATATATATATATATATACATATATATATATATATATATACATATACATATATATATATATATATATATATATATATATATATATATATATATATATATATATATATATATATATATATATATATATATATATATATATATATATATATATATATTGATAAGAAAAGAAAAGAAGATAAGAAAAGACGTAGGATGATCCGGTATGTAGGAATTCATCTATGCTGATGTTTAAAATAGCTCACATTACTTAAGTTTTACTATATCAAAAGTTGTCAGATTAAGAGTGATAATAAATTTATGAGATTTATGCATGCTGTGTAAGTTTGAAATTCTGCATTCCAAATAGATTCTTATTGAGGGAAAAATTCCAATTTATATTGGGCTTATATTTAGATTTTAAATTTCATCAAAATAACTTTGGCACTCAATAATATGGCCAAAAGAAGTTTTTAAATCTTTAGAAAAATGCCAAAACTAAAAAGAAATATTAAAATATCAAAATCAAAATATAGTATTAAAACCAATCAAAAACTATACATTTTAATCCCAGTGGGCACAGGACGTAAAAAAAAAAGACGTCCTATGGACGTTCAAATCGCGTCCGTCCGTCCCTAAACGTCTTTCGAACGTCTTTTTCGCGTCCAATAATTTTTTTTCGTCCAAATTTTTTTCGTCAAAAAATATCCAGAATGCTCATAGTCATAAAAATAATAAGAATAAACTTACTTTTTATGACTATGAAATACTTTATAAAATAAAAAAAAATCAGTTAAATCACGCAAGCGCTAAAACTTCTTAAAAATTTTAAGTAAACCATTTTTAATAAAGTTTTTTTTCAATTACAAAAGTAGTCTTTTTACTACGATTAATAGACACGTTCTAGCTAATTTTTGTTTTTGTTATCAATTACTTGAAAATTGTGGTAATATTGATACAGGTAATGAAATTTTTACAGATAATGAAAGAAACGGTTTAAAACTGAATATATGCTATACTATGTATATATATACTTTATATACTATTAGTATAGTATTGCTATATCAAGAACCAAGTTCTAACAATTTCAAAGATTTAGACAACTCATGCAGAATCGAATTTTTCATTAGGAAAACCTATTAATGATACATGGAACAATTATCCTAATAATTCTTTGAATTCAATGTCTTTACTCGACAACATTGTGCTATTTTATAATTGAACCAGTACATTAGTTAATGATCTTCTTGAAATATTGCCAAATCAAGGTTTGGAACTTCCCAAAGATTCAAAGAGAATTTTAAAAACACCTTATGAAAAGCGACTTATAGACAGGTTCTTGCTAATTTATATTTATATATTTTTAAACATTTAATTACTTGAGAATCGTATTAATATTGATACATATATTGAAATTGATACGGATATTGAAATAAATAGTTAAAAACTGGGTATATGATATACTATATATATATATGTATATATATATATATATATATATATATATATATATATATATATATATATATATATATATATATATATATATATATATATATATATATATATATATAATATATATATATATATATATATATATATATATGTATATATATATATATATATATATATATAAATATATACATTTATATATATATATATATATATATATATATATATATATATATATATATATATATATATATATATATATATATATATATATATATATATATATGTATATATATATATATATATATATATATATATATATATATATATATATATATATATATATATATATATATATATATATATATATATATATATATATATATTAAGTATATACTTGATACTTGATATAGTATTTCAAGTATAATAATTGATATACTATATCAAGAACCAAGTTCTGACTGTTTGAAAAACTAAGACATTGCAGAATCTCATGCATAGTCATACTTTTCAAAAGGAAAACCTATTAATAATACAGAGAGTTTATGCTGCTAATTCAATATAATTCAATATCTTTAATTAACAACTTTTAGATTGTTCTATTCGAAATAATTGGACCAGTACATTAGTTAATGAACTTTTTGAAGTATTACAATATCAAGTTTTGGAACTTCGCTAATAACCAATTACTTAACTTTAGTAATTAATAACCAATTACTTAACTTTAGTAATTAGTTATTAGTGAAGTTCAAAAGTTTTGACTAAAAAATAAGTCTAATTGAAAAAATTAAACCAGTCGTAACAGTTATATAAGAGACAAGAGGGTAGAAAATTTCCTTTACTCTCAAGGAAATTTTCTACCCACCTGTCTCTTATATAACTGTATTACTTGTTTAGTTTTTTTAATTAGACATTTTTTAGTGACTTATCTTACTCTTTTATTATCTGATTATCTAAAAGTATTCTTTAGAAGGTAGATGTAAATAATTTTTCTCTTTTATCATTCTTTAAAAGTTCTATATGAATAATTTTAATTAAAATCAATATTTATACTTATTATTTGATAAAATTTATATTTTAGTAACTTATCCAACTTAATTAAGAATAAGAAAAATATATTTAAAGATGAAATTGATTAAATATTTTTTTGAAATGATTTTTTATAATGATATTTTGAAAATTTATGGTTTTAGTTTTAGTATTTAGTAAAAAAATATATAACACAGCAAAAACATTTAAATCAGAATTTCAGTGGAGCTATATAGGCATTTTAGGTCATTGCAGTTTTGGTCATCGTTTACTTAGCGGCCTATTAGTGGCAGCAGCCAAAAGTGCCTAACATATGAATAACCACTATATCACGTGTTGGAATGTTATTGGCAATTTACTAAGTAACGGATGAGAAACACTCCTTAATTTCTTCTTTTTTTATCATCTAGGAAATTTTATTAAAGTAGATGGATTATACTTATTAATAAAGAAATTATATAGTCCTTTAATTGATTGCAAACCTATATTTCTATTGTATATATATATATATATATATATATATATATATATATATATATATATATATATATATATATATATATATATATATATATATATATATATATATATATATATATATATATATATATATATATATATATATATATATATATATATATATATATATATATATATATGTATATATATATATATATATATATATATATATATATTAATTTATAATAATTTTTCTGTTTTTATTCAAAATTTATTGAAAAAATAAGATTCTGTTTTCAATGTAGTTATTTTCACCTTAATTCTGCTATTTTTTCTTTCAAAAAATTGACTTTCGTGACCAAATCTTTTTAAATAATAGAAAAATGTCTCCTTAAAATCCTTACTTATAGCGTCAGTTTTAATAGTAAATATACATAATATATGTCAAATAAAATAAAAATGAATTTTGCTAAAATTTAAAATTATTAGAATTAGTTAAAATTTAGAACTATTAGTTATTATTAGTTAAACTTTGTAGAATTTGTAGTATTATTTAAAATTTAGAATTAGATAGTGTGAAACATCAATTAGATACAATTTAAAGTTGAACAGAAAAATTAAAAAAAAAAAAAAAAAAAAAAAAGCTAATGCTAAAAAAATAACACTTGTAAGAATATTTTTTTACTTTTCCATAAATTTTATTTACCTGTTAATAAAGATTTTATTTTTAGGAGCGTCAACTACATCAAGTGTCAGTTGATATATATGTTTTGGTCAAATACATGTTTGTATTTGGTAATATTATGTTACATTTTTGTTTTGTATTTCAAAAACTCATATTGCATTTATTTAAATATGCATTTAGGAATCTAGAATTGATGTGTTTATAGTTTTTGTATCTAATTTTGTTTTAAATTAAAGAAATTTTATTTGATTAAATGTATTTAACTCTAAAGTTCATTTTTATTTTTGCCTTCGGTTTTAAAAAAACAGAACAACGGGTTTGGCTATAGCTCATTTTATGTAATGGTTAATGTAATATAATTTATTTTATGTAATATGCCTAATGAATTTTTATTAGTAACAACTTCTTTAATTCATTCAGCTCCTCCAAAATTTGAAATTCTGTGATTCAAAATTTTGTTTTTCCCAAAACAAAGTTAAAGAAAATATATGAAGTTAATGATAAATCTTAAAGTTTTACAAAGATTAATGTAAGTAATTTTTTTTCTTGTAATAACTATTTTGGAAGTTATTTTAACTATCTAGGCCATTTTATCTTTATAAATTAATTTTTTTAATACTTCTCAATACTCAAAATAGGTCAATTCAGCAAGAAAAAAAGAACATTTAAGAATTTCCTTTCAAAAGATGTAGTTAGTAAAATTTTAAGTTATATATATATATATATATATATATATATATATATATATATATATATATATATATATATATATATATATATATATATATATATACATGTATATATCTTCTTCATATCATGTAACTTCAGGGGTTCTTCAAGGTTCAATCCTTGGTCCTATACTCTTTTTAATTAACATTAACGATCTTCCAAATATTATCACATCTAAGGTGGCATTGTTCGCTGACGACACTACTGTTTATTCTTTTCATGATAAGAAGCCTACAC